AGAAAGTCTTACCGGGTGGCTAACCTGAACAGGTCATCTACAGTGTCGGGGTGATTCTGGAGGCCATTCTGCTGCTCCAGGAGTTGAAAGGTGGGGATGCACAGTGCCTAAAGAAGAACAGTGATTTTAAAACAAATTATTTATACATAAAAGTCCCAGCATACAGGCATGCCAAATATTATAATAAATACAAAAAACACAAAGGAAAGCACAGGTAAGAAAAGAAAAGATTACAACAAGCAGCAGATTGGCAAGAGAGAAAATTTTCCCAGTTGAAATAAAGTTTTCACATATGAAATCTACATTTCAGAAAAGGCTTAAGGCATACATTTCAATTCATAGATGTTCCATCAAAGTTTTAGAAACTTCTGAAAGCAAGTTTTTAGAAATTTTTAAGAGATATGATCTACAAATAGAGTAGATGAAGTTTCCATAATAATGAACTGTCAATTGTAAATGAAAAGATATCTTTGGGGAACAGAGTATTTTAATTCCCTTATCTGGTCTCTGCAGGTGACAAGGAAGGGAAAAGCAGGATATCAGGAGTTTTCTCCAGTGCCTGTCCCTATTTATCCTGAAGCCTTCACTGTAACTTAGTACTGGCTCTTTCACACTAAATACATAAATAAATAAAATCATGTTTGAGCTTCTACATAGGAGATTCTGTAGTTTTAATTCATTTGCTTTTTCTCCCCACCAAAATTCTACCCTATTACCAGGGAACACAAAGCAGGGAGAAACACCTATAATAATATCATATCCATTCACTCAATCTCTTTTTCCCCAAGTAGACCTGTCCAGAAAACAAGATTTTACCTTTCTATTAGGAAATCAACAACACAGGGGGAAAATATAAAGACATGGTAAGGAACACACAGGCCTTAAGACTCTAATTCTCCAGGCCTGATGTATCTATTCTCCCTAAGAAAAACATACCTGGAGCATGTCTAGTAGTCCTTGTCGACAGCCTTCTTCCATGCCATATTCATCCACAAGGATGCTACCAAGGTACAGGAAACAGGAATGCTGATGTACATGGTACACATTTACCATCTAGCAAGGAAAAAAACAATAGAACAAAACAAAAATTCATTCAGTTCTTCATCTTTCCGAAAGTATCAACCTAGGAAGCTGTTTCCAGGAAGAAATCCAGACAGCTTTGTCTCTTATCTTTATAGTTATATGGTAAAGCTTGTCAGTAACATATTTTGAAACTCAGGGTTCAATTTCTCAATAATTTTCAAGTTTTCTATTTTGAGTTCTTTCTAGACTTTGGCCTTTCATTTCATTTCTTCTCCCTTCCCTTTATTCTTTCTTTCCTTTCCTTTTTCTTTCTGGTGGTGTTGGTGGGGTAGGCAGTGATGTGGGATTCAACCCAGGGTCTTCAATTGGACTACATCCCACCTCCAACCCTGCCTTTATCTTGAGACAGGGTCTTGTTCAGCCTAGCCTGGGCTTCACTTTGTGATCTTCATGCCTCTGTCTCCTGGAGTGCTGAGATTTCAGGAAGCCTTTGATCTTTATCTTCTTCAGATAAAACTATTATAAGAGAGCTGTCTATAAACTGGAACCCAAGGGCCAGGGAGATGGCTCAGTAGAATAAATGCTTCCCTAGCAAGCGCAAGGGCCTGAGCTCAATCCCCGTTTCTACCAAAAAAAAAAAAAAAAAGAAAGAAACTGGAACCCATTAGAGAGCTCATATACTCTTTGCAAAACTCTAGCATTATGGGCTCATCCATATACCACAGCAGATGGACCAGAGTTTGACACCTCCCCCATGTGTGGGCCCTGCCCCTGGGGCAAGTGGAGACTGAGACTGGGCATGGTGATGTAATTCCAGTACTTAGGAGGCTGAAAACAGGAGGACCACTATGTGTCCAATCTATGTAGTGAGATCCTGTACTAAATACATTTAAAAAAACCAAAAAACAAACCTCTAGCATTATATACTTAAATTTTCCCTTCCAAGTCTCTAGCCAGGCATAGTGGCACATGCCTGTAATCCCAGCATTTAGGCTGAGGCAGGAGGATCACATGGAGTTTAGGCCAGCCTGAATTAGAGTGAGATGCTATCTCAGAAAGGACTTAAAAATTCCAACCTCTGGCAAGCACAAGGTTCTGAGTTTGATCTCCAATTCTAGAGGGAAAAAAAAAAAAAAAAAAATCCAACCTCTAAAGGTGGTACTTATTTGCATTATAGAAATAAGTATTGTTTAACAGCATATATAGCCATAGTAGCAATAAAACTATCAAACGCATTTATCGTGGAGAAAACTGAAAGGACCATTTAGTTTGTTTTTAAAGCCATCTTTTAATTAAACACTATTGTTTCCAACAAAAATATGTGCATCTCAACAGATTAAAACTCTTAGTATAATATACACACTTAAATTATTTGTAGTCAGGAAAGATAGCATACACCTGTAATCCCAATGTTCTGAGAGGCTGAGTGCAAGTTCTAGTCCAGGTAATTTAAGCAAAATCCTATGTCAATATAAAAAAGATTTAAGAAGGACTAGGGATAGTTAACTCAGTGTGAAGGCCCTGGCTTCAATCCCCAGCACCAAAGGGGAAAGAAAATAAAAGAAAAAATTTAACTGCACTGTCTTCCAAAAATTAAGAAGCAAGTATATTTCCTATTTAAAATACTATCACAAGACATTTGCATTAATCTTTTTTTATCTTATATAAATTCAACACTATGAGCTTAGTGTGGGATGACACAGTAACTGCCTCTTTCATCAGTATACTGCATGGAACAAGCATGAGATGAGAGCTCTACAAATGAGTAATTTAAATCAGGGGTTGGAGAACCTTTTATAAAAGACCACACTATAAAAATGGACACGTTGACTGGCTAGTCAGTCTTCTGACTAACTCAGCTTTGCCAGTGTAGCACAAAAATGGCTGGGGGGCAATACTTAAATGTGCTACACTCACAAAGTTTATGGCCTATCTGAGGTTAATAGCAAAACAAACTGCTTTGTGGTCTAAGCATAGGCATCTCATGGGGAGTAATTCTAGATGTGAATACTGTACATAGTGAGTCACAGCATCAAACTTTTTTTTTGGGTACAGTTATGGAAATTAAACTACCATTATATATGATGGCAGGGATTCTACCACCGAGCTAAACCCCCAGGCCTTATTTTTATTTTGAGACAAGGCCTATCAAGTTGCTCAGGCAGGTCTTTTTATTTATTTTTTTGTTATTTTGAGACAGGGTTTCACTATGTAATTCAGCTTGGCTTTCTACTTGATTTGTATCCCAAGCAGCCTTGAACTCACAGCAATCCTCCTGAATTGCTCTCCCAAGTGCTAGGATTACAGGTGTGCACCACCACACCCAGCCACTCAGGCTGGTCTTGAACTGCCTCTAAATCCCAAGTAGCACTACCATATCATATAGATCTTGATGAACGAAAGCCAAATTTAATTTTGACAAATAAAAGATCCATGTGCAAAACAAACTGAAAAGGAATAAAAGTTTGACTTGGCATATTTTTTTCTCTAAGGAAATTAATATAAAAATGCTTCCCATTGGTATATAAGGTCTGGACATGAGCCATTCTTCACATACTTTCACACTGGAATGTGTTGCTATTCAAAGTACGATCATACAGGATGGAGTACAGGCTGTTTTCTCAAATAGACAACACATCAACTATTGGCATTAGTCTCTTCTGAATATTTTAGTTTGTATTAGTGAGTCAAAAGCACTCTACCAGAAATTTATGTGCTAAAGGCTTCTATTTGAAATTCTGTTTGAATTCCTCTTTAGGGAACCTACCTGTGTGACTAGTGGCTGCAGCAGGGCTGCAGATCCTTTGCCTACACAGCGAACAGCGAAACGCAGGCATCTGCAACAACGTTCTACAATCCGATTATCAGCACGGTGCTTATTTAGAGTCTCAGATAAAACTGGCCATATCTGAGTCAAAAATGAAAAAGTACAAAAAAGAAAATAATCAACAACAAAGACCTGAAATGATGTTCCTAAGTTAGTAACATGTGACTTAGCTTCAAATAATTTGTATAAAACTTTCTCTATAAGAATACAGATACTCTGATTCTGGGGAGGGAGGGAAGGAGGGAGGGAGGGAGAGAGGGAGAAGGAGGGAGAGGAAAGAGAGAGAGAGAGAAAAGAGAAAAGAGAAAAGAGAAGAATGAGAAAACAAATTTTAGGCAGGGAGATACTTAAAATAGTTCCAATCTTAAACTTCAGACTCCCAAAATGAGAAAATAATAAATTTTAGGTAAAGAGATACTTAAAATAGTTCCAAGAAAGTGGAAGACCTTAGACAGAAAGACTAAGGTTAAGAAAATGGATCACTTGCATACACAAAACAATTAAGGATATTTAGTATTTATATAATTTTCCACCTGAAATCAAAACACATTTCTCAAAACCATTACCCTTATTCCTCAGATTATCCTTAGTGAAAGAAGCATAAGGCAAGTATGCTATCAGGAAGAAATTGAACCCACTAGCTTTGCCAAAAACATTTTGCTAGTCTTGCCTAGCATACACGAGGCCTTGGGTTTGATCTCTATCACCACAAAAAGGAAAAAAATGTATCACGCCTCCAAGGCCACACAGCTAATCTGTACTTCTCTGGCAGTGGGCATTTCCCCATAGCCTATTTTGTTATCACATCTAAAGCAAAAAACATTTGGATGATCTGTCCCTCATTTCATTGAAATTTAAACCATATCAATAATTAGAATCTCCCCATCAACCTGGCAGACAGTACCTTCGAAACCCAGTTACCCAAAGCCTTGTAAGGAAAAGAAGAAAGCCTTGATTCCACAGGCATCCATTAGCACTTACTTCCTGTATGACTTTTTGGCATGGATGAGTCTGTCCATTTTCCACAATGGGATTGGTGTGTCTGGAAATAGACAAGGACCCAAAATAGTGAAAAAAGAGCAATTTCACTGAGGACCCAGAATGCTGATCCCTGCTTGCTCACTTGGTATAATTGTTACCATAGAAAGAAAACCAGATGGTAGAATCATTTACTTTACATCAGCATCTTTTCCTCTTATTCCAGTTACACAAAAACCAAGCACATACTTTCAATTATCCTCTTTTCTTTGCCACCATTAAGTCACTTCCACTAAAATACACAAATTCTATCCAACTCCAGTTCCATGAACTATAAAGAACTATTTTTCCAATCCTTTTACTTTTTCCATTTTTCCTCCTTATAAATCTAAATATGTAGTTCCTTCCAAATAAAAAAAAACAAAACAAAACTATACACAAGCAGTATGACTCATCATAAGAAACCAAGTAAGGGACAACCCGCTTGGGGGCCCCCCTCTTGTCCCTCTCTCCCACAGGAGCTTTCTTTCTCTCAATAAATATATTCTGCTCATAAAAACAAACAAGTACTGTCCCATTCCTACTATTAAAACATGTAAAGCTTTAGCTACTACAGTCTGTTACAGAGATTGGTCATAATTTTAGTCTGAATTCATCAATACACAATATAGACCTACCTAAAATTAATGTCAAACACCAACTCTTCTGTTTAGTTCTATAGCCCACTAATTTGAAGAAAAGCAGTCAGATAACTACATGATTAACTTCTTTTTGGCTGGCTCAGAATGCCTTCAGGGTATGTTTGGCTGGTTGGAGTTGTGGGGATCGAACCACAGCAACCTGAGCCTGACTGCTTTGTTGAAGCAGCCACTTAAAGAACTGAGCTAAGGGGCAGGCCCCCATAGGATTTTTTTTTTTTTTTTTTCTCTCTGAATGCCTGTAGGGCAGGTTTGGCTAGATTGAGTTGTGGGGATCAAACCGCAGCCACCTGATCCTGACTGCTTTATTTATTAATTTATTTTATTTTTATTTTTTTCCGGAACCGGGGATTGAACTCAGACCCTTGCACTTGCTAAAAGTGTTTTGTTTTTTTTTTCCGGAACCGGGGACTGAACTCAGGCCCTTGTGCTTGCCGGGGAAGTGCTTATTCTACTGAGCCATCTCCCCAGCCCCTTGACTGCTTTATTGAAGCAGCCATTTAAAGAACTGGGCTAAGGGGCAGGCCCCCCTACATGATTAACTATTAACCTCAAGCTACTCTACAATTTAAAAAAATAACTTATTAAAAAATCTATTTTTCTTTAAGAATTTACATCCATTACAAATTTTCTTCGATTACTGTAAAATAAATGTTGTCATTAACAAGATCAGAATGGCATGTAATAGGACTAGAGAGATAGCTCAGTGGCATAAGCATCTGTCTGCCTGGCAAATACAAGGTCCTGAGTTTGATCCCCAGTACAAAAAAAAAAAAAGAGTATCACATAACAGTAAGAGCTCTCTTACTATATAAGGAAAGTATTGCACCAACCCAGATTAGTTGACAATAGCTAATAAGTGAAAATAACACCTTAATTTAACTCTCAAGTTAATCTACACATGATTCTATGCAACCACTACTCTATTTACTCACCTAACTAGTTCTATCTATGGATCTCACAAATTTATGAATTATATAATTTAATCAGGTGTACATGCTGACACTGTCACTCAAATGCCTTTTTAATCATCTGGCTCTTTTTGACTTCAAAGAGTGATTAATTTCACGTGAACATTAAGGACAATTCATTAGTATTTTCTGTCTATGTATCATATACTAGATATAGATGATACAGATATATCAAATGACTCTTCAAACACAATCTCTGAAACATCACACAGCAGCAGCAACACTTGGGAACTTACTAGAAATAAAACTTTTGAAGTCCTACCCAAGATTCAAAAAATCAGATGCTTAAGACTTGGTCCCTAACAACCTGTATTTTGATACACTCTTCAGGTAATTCTAAAAATGTTAAAGTTTGAGAACCATTGAAATAGATGAATCAATTATATTTTTAAAAGCTATTTGACAAAGGTCTACCAAAAATGAATTCTTAGAATTTGCCTGTGCCCCAAAACTTTAGGTACGCGTCAACTGAAGCAAGGAATCCAGAGTCTCCCTTCTTACCTAAATATTACTGCTAGGCGATCTAAGAACACAGTAGGATCTGAGGATATGCCATTGCTGGGCTCCTGAGACAACAGCTAGAGAAAAAAATAGTAACACCCAGTGGTCACATGTGCAAGCTAGCAAACACAACATACACATCTTTTTTAAAAATGTATTTAGTACAGGGTCTACAGGATCTCACTACATGGACAGGACTCTTAGTGATTCTGTCTTCAGCCTCCCAAGCGCTGCGATTACAGGCTCATACCACCATGCCCAGTCTCAACTGCTGCCTCAGCTGCCCAAGGAGTGGGGCTAGCACAATAAGGTACACATCTTTAAACAACCTTTGCCTATTTTTATTTCCTTATAATGAGCCTACAAATTACTTAAGATGTACAACCTTCAATTTGTATTGTCCAATTACTTTTCTCCATTTTATAGCATCCTAGCCAAGAGTACATATTATACATTTTACTATCTGATCACAATAGAAAACAGTATCATTTGATTTTTCCCCATTTATGTAAATTATGATTAAAAAATAGAATAAAATGGAGATGTCATGAATAAATGAACAATGTTAGTTTTGCCTACCCCCCAAAATAGTAATAAATTATTAGATATTAATATTATATAACAAGGCTTTAAATTTTTTATAGTTTAAACAAGATGCCTCTCATTTTCTGCTACAATTTCTTAGTTACTCCTACTAGTATATTATTAAAGATGTTCTAAAAATCCCATTGGTATGTCTATTTTTATTGCACTAAATATGTAATTGGAGATGAGGTGACATCTAAAAATAGTCTTCAAGGAGCTGGCAAGATAGCACAGTGGACTGAACACCTGCTTAGGCAAGTGCAGGGACTGCGGTTTGATCTCCAGCATGACTTGCAGTGCTGGCCCCACCCACAGGTGCACCGAGCTGGCCACTGAGACAGGGCATGGTGGCTCACCCCTGTAATCCCAGTGCTGGTGAGGCTGAAAACAGGAGGATCACTACAAGTCTGAGCTGTGTAGTGAGACCTTGTACCAAATACATAAAAATAAAATAGTCTTCAAGGATGATTATTTATGATAGATAATGGTATAGTTTTGTCTTTAATTTTTGGTGGTGGTCGTGGGGACTGAAACCAGGGCATTTACACACACCTACATTCACAGTGCTTTTAGTTTATATTTTGAGACAGGGTCACCTAAGATGCCCAGGTTGGCTTCAAACTTGTGAGTCTCTTGACTCAGCCTCCCAATGTGCTGACACTATAGGCATATGCCACAACACCTAGAAAGGTTATGGCTTTGATTGTCAACTTGAATGATTTTTTTCCCATTTATCTTCTGACTGGTTATTTTACTGATTTTAAAATAATCAAGTACTTGGTAAGCAATGTTTTGGTCAATGACAGAACACATAACAAATGATGGTCCCCAAAGACTATAATAGAGCTGAAAAATTCCTTTCTCCTAGTAATTTCATAGCTGTCCGAACAGTACAGTACACTTCACTGTTCTGCCTGTGGTGGTGATGCTGGTGTAAACGAACCAACTATGCTGCTAGTGGTATAAGAGCACAGCACTTACAATTATGTATATACAGTGCTTGATAATAAAAAACTGTTGTATGTTTATGTATTTACCACTACTTCTTACCATTACTTTAAAGTGTGTTCCCACTTAAAAGGAGATGCTTACTGTAAAACAGTATGCTGCAGTGTGCTGGAAGCAGCCTTGTATATCTCAAGATAACATCAAGAGGCCCCGTATGTGACTGGCTTATCCTATTTGGATTCATGTGAGTGCATTTTAATGTTTGCACTACAAAACTGCCTACTAATTAATTTCTCAGAATGTATCCCTGTCATAAAGGGAAGCATAATTGTACTTTTTCTTTGTATGTTGTTACTCTGACATACTAAATTTTAATAATTTCTCAGTTCATTCTCTTGACTTTTCTAGCTAGATGAAAAATAATCTGTAAATAAGAAAATTTGTCTTTTCCCTTCCAACACAGTAACTTCTTATACTTGGTTAATTACTTACTACTTAATTGGACTTACCTTTTTCAATGCCATAACCTGAACAGAACATAGTTCACTAAGACATTCAGTAATCTTATCCAAAGGTAATCTGGCTAAGACAAGTGCTGTCCCTAAAAAATAAAGAAAGAAGAAAATGAAGAAAATAAAACCTAAATTGAAGTAACTAAACTACATGGGATACACTATAGAGGTTAACAGAAAAGACTGACTGACTCCATCATTAAAAAGAATTAGTCGGGCTGGTGAGATGGCTCAGTGGTCTAAAGCACCTACTTAGAACAAGCTAAGCTAAGCAAAACACAGGGACTGTGGTTCAATCCCCCAGCACCACATGCCAGCCAGCCCCACCCCCTGGTGGGCTGAGCTGGCCACACACACACACACACACACACACACACACACACACAAATAAATAAATTGTAAAAAAAAAAAAAATTAGTGTTACTTCTAAAGTTACAGCATTGTTACTTTGTTTTTTTCCGGCGGAACCAGGGATTGAACTCAGACCCTTGCGCTTGCCAAGGAAGAGCTTATTTCACTGAGCCATCTCCCTGGCCCCTGTTACTTATTTTTAATTTGACTTAGAAGACTACAGACTGGCTTTTACATTGACATTTACAAACAAAACATTATTTGTTTTCAGCAGCCTTTTGGCTTTAAGATGTTTAAACATGCCTCCCTTCCAGTTATTCAGACTTTACGAATCATCTCCACAAAGCTAATGCCACAGCTATGATTCTTAATTATTATTATTTTTTTAAATGTATTTAGTACAGGGCCGGGGAGATGGCTCAGTGGAATAAGTGCTTCCCTGGCAAGTGCCAGGGCCTGAGTTCAATCCCCGGTTCTGTCAAAAAAAAACCCCCAAAAAACCAAAACTGTATTTAGTACAGGGTCTCCAGGGCCTCACTACATAGATCGGACTCGTAGTAATTCTCCTGTTTTCAGCCTCCCAAGTGCTGGAATTACAGGTGTGCACCACCATGCCCAGTCTCAATTGCAGTCTCAGCACGCACGCTGGGGATTGCCGTGCGCTGGGGATTGCCGTGCTCTGCCTAAACAGGCACTTTAGTCGCTGAGCTACATGGCCAGCCCTATACCAAAGCTATTTTTATGTACCATAATACAGTGTTTCTCTTCCTTCCCAGAGATTCTGATTTAGTGGATCAGGAAGAGCCTGTTTTTGACAAACACCTTAGGCAATTCTTATCAGAGAGGTCTGAGAAATACTGACATAATGCTTTTAGAAAGAATGAACCAAACTCAAAAATTTTAGTCATTTACTGTGTATTCTCCTTAGATTCAGTTTATCCATTTGTGAGGTATGCAATTTCAACAGAAAATTAGCAATCACATTTGCCTTTCTTCTTTAAAGAAATATTTATAAGTGGGGCCAGGGAGATAGCTCAGTAGGATAAGCGTTTGCCTGCCAAGCACAAGGGCCTGAGTTCAATCCCTGGTTCCGCAAAAAAAAAAAAAAAAAGAAAGAAAGAAATATTTATAAGAGCCTCTCCTCCTCAAGTCAAATTTTATTTATTTATTTATTTTTGGTGGTACCAGGGATCGAACTCAC